CAGTCTGCAGTCCCCACCATCCCGTGTGTTGTGTGTCAGTTACCAGAAAATACCTGGATCTCCTCTTTACCACAGCCCCTCTTTCTTGGAGTCCTCATCTACTCCCCTTCCCTGCGTTCGCCGCCACCTCCCACCTCCCATGACTTGTGCAATTACTCCACAGCAGCTCTTTAGCTTCCTCCTTTCGTGCTTCTGGTGAACAGATTTATGTAGTCCCTATTTGAAATCTTTCAAATGAGAATATCAAGAGAATTTCAAAGGGTAAATTGTTCAAGTCTTAAAAGGTTTCTGTAGTCTTAGTGCATCACTTTTTTTTTCTGGGTAATATATATAGCTAGTCTGTGGCTATATTTTCTTTATAAGGGTTTCCCTTTATCATATACATCCCTTGGAATGTCCAGATTGATGACCCATCTCCTCAGTGTAACGGTAACCCCCGAGAGTATCTCGCCTATGTGCAGACAATAGAACAGGGATCGCGGAGCACTTGGAGAACGCAGTGAGGTTGAGGTATAGGCGGGTTTCATGGCCTAGGAGTAATGGGGCGGTTTGGAGGGGTGACGATTTTGTGAAATATTTGATTTTGTAACTAAGAAGATGGATCTAGGCAGTGGTATGTGTCTGAGAGATGCTTTTCGTGTTCCCCAGGAGAGCCAGGTCCTTCTGACTCTTACGAATCCAGTGGAGAACCTCACCCATGTGACTCTTTTGGAGTGCGAGGAGGGGGACCCTGATGATATCAACAGCACTGCTAAGGTAGGAATATTTGCCGTGTCCTAACTCACCCCGACTTTACCTGGAGTGACCTCATCTGACCTGGCTAACAGACTCCACATATCTGTCATTTCCACATTCTAATCAGCAAGGTCTTTTGATTCCACCTCCTAAGTTTTCTACTCTATCCTGAAGCACACTGTGACTGCTCTGTTTGAAAATCTCGTCATTTCTTACCTGGAGTGTGACAGTAACTTCCTAACTGACTTCACTGTTTATGTGCACGCCCACCTCCATTTCACCCTGCCTTCTGAATTGCCAGCAGAGTGGTCTTTCTAAAGTTAACGCTGCATGGCTGATCAGTTAGTATCTCTGACTTTGGGGTTGTGTTAGTCTGTTATTATGTTGCTACATAGAAATACCTGGGGCTGGGTGATTTATGAAGAACAGAGGTTTACTTGGCTTACAGTTCTGGTGGCTGGCAAGTCCAGTGAGGGCCAGCCATTAGCATGGTGGTGAAAGCAGTGGGATCCCACATGGCCAGCCACACGGTTTGAGTCCTGTAGCTTGAAAAACAGAACAGAGGAGCATGGGTATATGTGCTCAAAATTTCAGAAGGATGGAGAAATGGAGAAGGGGTTGCAATATAACCACCCCCCATGTGGGGCTGCTTTCTCACTTTCCCTCTATGTCTCTTCCTGAGTGTGTACACTCTTTGGCAAATTAAAAAAAAAAAGTCCAAAGGCATGAGGCTAGCATCAGGCCAATCTCTGGCGCTGTATCCACAACATGACAGCCAACAGAAGCAGTGAGGAAGACGGACATGTACAGAGAGAGAAGAAATAGAATTCCTCACTTCTTCTGTTTGTCCTGCCTGTGCCCACAACTGGCTAGATGATGCCCACCCATTAGGTCTCACCTAATGGTTGAAACTCTCATCATTTCCTAAAGCCATTACAGTAGGAACCAAGTTTCCAAAACATGGATCTGGGAGATAAAACATTATCCAAACCATTGCAGGGATGAAGTCCAAGTTTTTTGGCATAACCTACTAGCTCCTTAGTGACCTCACTACTATCTTTTCTTCCAGCACAGTCTTTCTTTAGACTCTCAAATTTAGCATCTTCTGAATCATACATATTAATAGTTGTGATCCAAGCAGATCAGTGGGTTTAAACTTGCATGCCATGGAATTACAGGTGCTATTCATTTTACCTACAATGCCTACTTCCTGTCCCCACTCCCCTAACAGTCTCTCCATCTGCTATATACTTGTTCTTCAAGATTCAAGGGAAATGCCATATCCTCTTAAAAGTTAGTATGCTCTCCTCTACATTCCCTCTGCTTCCATAGAGTATCCATAGCACTAACATTAAAACTGGTGACTTTTGACTTTTTTTTTTTTTTGAGAGTTTGTTGTTGTTGTAGTGCACGTGTGCTCACCAGACAGAGAGACAGAAAGTGAGAAATCATCCCCCTGGGGGAATGGCCATGCTGCAATCCCTTTTTCTCCATTCTCCTCTTGGGATCTTGCACCCAGTGTGAGTTTAAGCTGCCAGGTCTGGGACTTGAACCATGGTCGACTACATGGGAGACTAGCAATGTAGCCATTACGCCATCTGCTGGTCCCATGACTCTTAATGTTAGTTAAATAAATGAAATGTGGCCTCTTTATATTTTGCTACTCAGTCAATTCTTCTAGTACTTGAAATTTTGAAACAAAATTCATAATTCAACATATACTTGTAACAAATATTGTTAGAAAGGATGCCTATATCTTTAATTAGCTGTTATTCAAGTATCATTAGAGAATTTTTCTACCTCCCTTTCCTTTTCTTTTTGCTTTTTTGTGACTGCAATAACATCAGCTAAAGAGAGAGATGACTTTTACTTGTCTTTGTTCCTCTTTTTTTCAGAGCACTAATCAGCAGCTCTAGTTGGGACAGACAGAGCGTAGTGCCAAATGCACATAGCCAGCTTGTCTTTATTTCTGTCTACATCTCTCCTTGACACATTGTATTCATGATTAGAAATTCAGTTGATCTTGTTACTTGTTAATCTCTGATAGGAAGTTAAGGTCTGATTGCAAAATAATTTAGAAGTTTGACCAGTACTGAACTGTCTTCCATGACTAGAAACTCCATATACTCCATATCCCCATCAGAAAATACCATGTTGGGGGACCAGCAGATGGCATAATGGTTACGTTGCTGGACTCCCATTTAGTCAACCATGGTTCAAGTCCCAGACCCAGCTTGGCTAAACATGTTATTTTGCGTGTGTGTGTGGCAGAGGGGGCGGGGGAGGCTTAGAAATAAATATAGAAAAAAAAAACCCCACAAAGACATACAAGTATAGAAAAGTTAGGTTTGGGTGAACCCGACTTCTCTGATGGAGAAAGCTGACCCAGCCTCAGCTTTATTATTTTATAAGGCAGAAAATGGGGGGTGAGGAAATGGAATGTAAACTGGCACCATTTGGTTTCCTCTGATCTTTGGGGATAAAATAACACTTGCAGCTTTCTTAGATAGATATTGTTTTGCAGTATTTTGCAATATCAGCAGTTAGCATTTTAATGCTTTCACAGCTATGCAGATGCAACTCAGGAACAGTATTTCTGCATATGTCTGAAGGTCACTGTGTTCAGAATGGCCACTCTCCATATAGCTACACCGGTGGCTTAAAACTCATGTTAGTCACATTTGCGTGTGTCCCAAGATCCCGGGAGGAGAATGGAGAAGAAGGGATTGTGGCGTGGCCACCCTCCCCGCCCCCAGGGGGTGATTTCTCACTTATTGTCTCTCTCTAAAGCAAAACTTTCTTCAAAAAAAGAAGGAAAAAGAAAATATCATATTGAAACCTGGAATCAGTGTTCTATGTATTTTTCTATAAAATGATGACCTGTTTCAGATATACCAAAAAATACAAAGAATACTATAACACAGACTCATGTACTCTCCTTCCCCTTAAGAAATAAAGACATTAGAGAGACAGTTGAATCTCCTTATGTTCTCCCCAGTTGATTTCTCCATTGCAGCCTCAGTGAAGTAAGCATTCACTTGACTTTACCATTCCCTTAAATTTCTTTGTTATTAGGGACCAGCAGTTGGCATAATGGCTATGTCGCTGGACTCCCATGTAGTCGACCATGGTTCAAGTCATGAACCCAGTGACTTAAACTCACACTGGGTGAGTGTGCATGCATGCCCAAGATCCTAAGAGGAGAAGGGATTACGGTGTGGCCATCCCCCCTGGGGGGTGATTTCTTGCTTTCTGTCTCTCTGTCTGTCTTTATGGCGAGCGCACACACCCTATAGCAAAAACCTCTCCAAAAAAAAAAAAAAAATTTGTCATGATACCATTACTAGAATGTCTGTATTCCTAAATAATATGTTTTTAAACTCTGTGTGAGTACTGTAACCCTGTATGTTTTCTGGAGCTTGCCACTTACTTCTATATGTCCAGATCAGTGTAATGCTTTGCTGTACCCCTTTAAATTAACGTCATACCTGACACACTGACCCTTCTGAGACAGGCCTCTCTGTTGCTCTCCAGGTGGTGGTTCCTCCCAAAGAGCTCGTTTTGGCTGGCAAGGATGCAGCAGCAGAGTATGATGAGCTGGCAGAGCCTCAAGACTTTCAGGACGATCCTGAGTAAGTGATCTTTTTGGGACTCCCCCCCCACCACCACCACCAAACTTGGCGATAACCGGAGGTTCACGAACAAATATAAAATCTCCCACTCTTTAAAAATTTGTTTTTTTTGTGGACCAGCAGTTAGCGTAATGGCTATGTCACTGGACTCCCATGTAGTTGACCGCAGTTCATGTCCCGGACCCGGCGGCTTAAAACTCACGTGCCCAAGATCTCGAGAGGAGAATGGAGGAAAAGGGATTGCGGCATGGCCATCTCCCCTGGGGGATGATCTCTTGCTTTCTGTCTCTCTGTCTCTCTGTCTCTCTCTGTCTGTCTGGCAAGCGCACGTGCCCTATAGTAAAATACCTCTTCAAAAAAATAATTTGGTTTTTTAAAAATAACTTTTTTCTTTATAGAAATAATTTCTGTCAAAAATTTGGGATATATTTATATACACACAAACACATATATTTGATTGATCTTCATAAGTGAAGAAGCATTGTTAGAGTGATGCTCACAGATAGAGATAGGTTGATCAGTCTCTGTCCATGAAAAAGAAAAGTATCCCACCACCAGAGATAATTCAGCACCGTTAATGTTTGACATTTGGCCTTTTAGATATTTCTTCCATCATTCAAATCATTCTGTGAACAGTTTTAGTCTTTGTTTTCATTGAAATACAGTTTCTCACGCTAATAAATACTTTCTTAAGATTTTTTTTAAATTTAATTTTATTTATTCATTCATTTATTTTAATATGACCAGAGAGAGAGAAAGTAAGAAAGCAAGCTATCAAGTCTGGGACGCCAACTGTGGTCGGCCATGTGGGAGTGTTCAGCACCTTAACCACTACGCTACCTGTTGGTCCCTGTTAATAAATATGTTTAAATTGTGTGATTATAGACAAGATATAATATTCTATCACTATGGGTTTATCATCAAATTTCTTCCCCATCCTCATCCTCTTTGGGTAATGAACAGATTTTACTCTCTCATACTTAGAACTGGGAAGTAAGAAACCCAACATTCCCTGGGAGTGCATCAGTCAGCATTCGGTCTAAAGGCTGACAGTAAAGGCTAGCAGGTGGCATGGTTAAGATGCTGGACTCCCTCATGTCTGACCTCTGTTTGAGTCTCGGACCCAGTGGCTTGAAAATCACGCTGGGCACATGTGCATGCATGCCCGAAATCCCGAGAGGAGAATGGAGTAGTCTCTCTCTCTCTGTCTGACAAGCACACTCGCCCTATAGTAAAAAAACCTTTAAAAAAGAAAAAAGGAGAAGGATGCCAGGGTCCGCAATCCACGTTGGGCGCCAATCTGCCGGGGTCCAGCCTCGGCGTGGGTGGGTTATCTCGATGAAGGCGGCAAAGGTGAACAGAAGACAGAGGCCTCGATGCCTTTTATGCACGTCCTATGCCGGACACCTCTCAGAAGTCGCCCTCTGAGGAGTGACAACTGCTAGGAATCATCGTGCGTTTTTATTGAAAATGTGTTACATACAAGTAAATGGGAGAGGGGCTACGTGTTTTAATTATTAGCTCATAAAGTCTTTTAACAATAAAACATAGATTTTATTCAGGGGTGGATTAAAGGTGGGTCTAGTGTAGTTCTTATTTAGGGGTGGATTAAGGGTGGGTCTAGTATAGTTTTTTAATTGTAGGTGGGTCTCCATGGAATGCAGTTTCGGGAAAGCGGTTTTGGTAAGCAGAGATGATTATCAGCTGATGTGGTGCAGCAGCCATTTTCTGATTACTGGGAATGGTGCTGAGAAAAGAAAATCTCAAGAATACATATTAGTTTTTATGGGTCTAATAAGGAATGATACTTATACAGTTTTGTAGGGATCTAAAACTTAATTTGAGGAATCCTAATATATTTATCTATTTCACTTGGAGAGGGCAGAGGTGTCCTGGGCCAGTTTTGGCCTAATC